TGTTAGCAAGTGGTATAATTCTGTTTCATCTCAACTTGCCACCAGGTAATGTTTCTTATTTATTGTGTTGTTCATGATACACTTTTCTTTGATTGTTAATATCTGTCTTTGGAAATTTTATTAAATCTACAGATTTGTCTTAGAACAATCCATTTTATTTTCAATGGTTTTTAGCTTCCCTGGGAAAGCTGCTGGGGTTGGATTTGGCGGCAAAGCTGCTCCAGCTGAATCTGCCAAAGATGAGGTGTGTTTCAAGTTGATTTATTGGACCCAAGTCATAGTTCTGTTTTAAGATATAGTTTGTTAGAGTGAAATCATCCGCTGAATAGTTAATTGAGAGTATATCAATAATATGCAAGTAGTTTGTTGAATAGAGGTGTGTCTATGGGATGGTTGAATAATTAGTTGAAGAGCAGTGAGATTTTTCCTAATATTGTAGTTTGGTTTTAAAAAAGAAAAATCTATTTATGTGATCTATTCAACATGCTCTATCAGTTTCAGTTACGATTTGATTTCTATGAATTGTGAACATTTTGTTTGTTATCTAGATAACTCTATGTTGCTCTTCTCTCGACTCCTCAATGGTTTAAATTTTATATTTTGAATTCTCTGTCCCCCCTCGTTTTCCTCAAATGTATCTCAAGGAAAGGAAAAGCAATTGCCTTTAACATAGTGCTTGTGACCTTGAAGCTTTTTAATTTCAAAATGCTAATGTTGAGAGTATAACCTCTAGTATTCTTCCTCTATTATCAGTTTTATTATTTAATTGCTTATTTACTTGTTTTTACCTGTTTTCTGCTGACAGGCTGCAGATGATGATGACTTGGATTTATTTGGTGATGAGACAGAGGAGGAAAAGAAGGCAGCAGAGGAGAGGGAAGCCTCTAAAAAGTCAGCTAAGAAGAAAGAAAGTAAGTATTTGTGTTTTTGTTTCATGTTAAAGATGCATTTTTGCTGCTTTGATGATCTTAATCTTTTGACATTGGTTGATTCTTGAAGGCGGAAAATCTTCTGTACTTTTGGATGTTAAACCATGGGATGATGAGACTGACATGAAGAAGTTGGAAGAAGCTGTTCGATCTGTCGAGATGCCTGGGCTTTTGTGGGGAGCATGTATGATTTGGTTTATAATTTCTATTAATCTGTTGCATCTATGTTACTTTGGACTCTAACGTGACTGTCAGATGTGATTGTCTGATACAAGTATAATTTGTTTATTCATATTCATGTCCGAATATGCTATACTCAGGTATTTTAGATGACCTGAAGAGTCATAGTAACATGGATGGATTACATACAGCGCCTATCCTAATGATTATTTGTTTTGTTATACTTGCAGCAAAGCTGGTTGCCGTTGGTTATGGCATTAAGAAACTACAGATCATGCTTACTATAGTGGATGATCTTGTTTCGGTTGATACCCTTATAGAGGAGCACCTCACAGTGGAGCCACGCAATGAACACATTCAGAGCTGTGACATTGTTGCATTCAACAAAATCTAGACGACTTTGTTTTGTTCCACGGCCGTTAAAGAGCCTGCCATTGGCAATGTTATAGACTTTTTTGCTTGCTTTCCCCTCCATAATATATGTTTTTTGCTTGAGCTGTGCTAGAAACTGCTTCTGCTCTAGATTGAGTATTTAAGGACGTTATATGCTTTGATTTAATTTAAGTTTTCCAAAGCAGGTTTAGTGACCTTGCAGATTGCATAAGCGGTTCAACTCTATAGATGGAAACGGAAGTCATTAATCTCTGTTTTGGAACTTAAAAGGAATTTTCAGGTTCATTATATTTCATCGATTGTTTACACTTTTATTGTTGCTGCGATAATGATAATTAAATGTTTAATTTAGTCTATTCAATATTTTTTAGTGTTAAGTGACAGAAAGTTTGATGAACATTTATTTTTATTTTTGAAAGGAAGCAACTAATTTTATTGAAAATAAAAATATCTCAAATTACAATAAAGATATTTTATTGAAAAAATATCTCAAATTACAATAAAATTTTACAATCAATTAAGTATATAATTAGGACAATTTATTATAATCATTTAAACAAATTAGCAACTTAAGATTAGACCATACGAAATAAGATTAAAATTTTAACTAAGAAGCTCGAACAAAGACAGATATTAATAGATCTTATTGTATCGGTAAATGATTTACAAAAGAGGATCAAACTATTAAAGATTACCGACAAAATCATGAATCAAACTCAAGCGAAGTGAAAAACTATCCACGAATGAAATGGGTATCCAAATTCACTCTGAGGGTTCAAAGCAGGGAAGATCAATAAAATATCAGATAAGTAACATCTTGATCAGTCGTGATGATGTCTAATCAACCCTTGTAAAAGATATATGAAAAAAGCGACCGAAAAATATGTCAAAAGACAAAAGAAAGCGTGCCAAAAGTGTCATACAAGCACTTACTGAAAATCAAAAAACAAAAGAAAATAGAGATACAATGGAAAAGACAATAAAGAAATACTGACGGTTGGCAACCAACATTAAAGTTGATGTTGTTTCCAATCAACAAAGATGAAAAGAAAAGAGATGAATAACACACCAATGAGAGAAAACTAGGTTTTATAAAATAGAAATGTTGGGCTCGAAACGATCAACCAAATAACTCCAAGAGGAGCTTAATTGACCAAATAAAATTTTGGGCGTATGTAGAGAAATGATAAAATTTGCAGAAGCATTTAGAGTGGTTCAACTTTTTCAAATGAAGCCTACAACCACTACCTTAGCTACACACTAAGAATTTCTAACAAATTTACTAATTTATTTTTCTTTTTCTAGGTTCAAGAGTAACCTTTTACAACTCCCTAGTTTTCAATGGCTAAACTAGAACCAAAGCCCTTTTACAAAAGGATGAGAAGATTGTAAATAAGAAAACCTCACAAAGTAGATGTATACAATTAAGCTCACTAAAACACTCTATGTACAAGAGAAAAGGAAAAATAAGATTGAAATAGATTTTCTCTTGGTATTGATTGTTTGGATAGGTGTTGTAACCTTCTTTAAGTGTCATTGGGTTGTTTTTGTAGTGTGGAATGAGTGCTAGTTGTTTATGACCTGTTGGGGATGAGTTAGAGTCATTGGAAGCATTCATTTCTCATAATTGTGGCTACCTGCACATAAAGTTTCGAAACTTTAAGAAGAGTCCGTAACTTTGATGCAAGTTTCGAAACTTTTAAACATACTGATGAAAGTTTCGAAACTATTACTTAAAAATGAACGTTGAAGAAAATCATACCGTTAAAATTGTTTCACGGGGCAAAGTTTCGAAACTTTAAGTAAAGTTTCGAAACTCACTATTCATGAACAGTACCTAAGTGAACATGTCGTTAGCAGTGCCAAATAGTAATTGAATATTGTTTTTCATATTTTAAGAGCTTTAAAGACATTGTAAACACTTTAAACATATTTTAATTAACTCAAAAATATTTCATATATAAATATCAATTTAGAAAACATTTTTTTCAAGTTATTTTGGACTTGGAATTATATTTGAAATATTTGATTAAATCCAATTAAGTCCAAAAATATTTTACCCTTCTTTATTATATTAAAATATAGGTTCAACAAGAAAAAAGAAAGATTAGAAATTGAGTATGAACTTTTAAGTTGGGTTTTTTTGTTGTGAATGCATTTATAGCAACTCTTGCTTCATATTCTAGGCCAATTTTGGTAATTCACATGAATAAAAAAATAATGATTAAGAAAAGAGGTTGATATGGTAATACTACATTACAAGTTAATTAGAAGTTATCATGGGTCTTAATATCAGACATTGGTCATCGTATTTAATAGGGATGAGCATTCGATCAAGTTGAGTCAATAAATTTTAAGTTATTCGAGTTGACGACTCGTATTTTGTAACTTGAACTTAACTTAATTTTTTTCAAGTCGAGTCGAGTTTAAAAAATCAGAGTTGAATTGTTCAAGTTTCTATGCAAATTTTATGGTAAGGATTGATTCCAATTTTTCGATTTTATCTAACCATATATTTCTTCATATTATTTTCACATTATAATGTTATTTAATATATCAAATACAACCTAAAATTATAAAATATATTTATAATATTATATTTAAAAATATCTATTTCGAGGGTAAAATATTGAAGTATAAAAGAGTCAAGGAATTGATGGGAAGAAAGAATTTACAAACAATTGCAATCAAAAGACTAAATTAAGTAAAATACAAAGTTAAGGAACTAAATAAAAAAAATAGAGTATGTTTTAAATAAAAAAAAAGGAATTGAAGTGTATATGTATTCTATAGTGGTATATGTGATTCAAATTTGGTAAAAAAAAAGTAGACTTAAAAATGAAGGATGAATTGAAGAAATAAGGAAATCATGAAAAGTTGAGGGTCTAAATTGAAAAATAAAAAATTGTTATCAAAAAGAGAAATTGAAATCTCATAGCTATTCTATGATGGTCTAAGAGCATGTGGTTCAAATTTAGTAAAAAAATAACTTAAAATGAAAGAGTAATTGAATGAATAAGGAAATCATGGGCTAAATAGAAAACTATCAAAATAGTCAACCCAAATTTTCAACTCGCTCGAACTCAAAAACTAATTCGATAATTCGAGTTTACTCGAAGAACTCAACTAAAAATAACTCAAAATTGTAAAAAAATTCAGATCAAGACGCATTTTGCTCACCCTAGTCTTCGATCACTCCAGTAAGATTAACTTATGAATTAAGAATAATTAATTTTATTTAATAATGAGTTTAAACACTTAAATTAACTATTGGTATATGATAGATGTTATTATAATGGTTTACAAGAGTTTAAGTTGCCGTGGAAAATAGCCTACTTTAATTAAAAAGCAACATATGAAAATTTGACATATAATTAGAAACATGTTGAACTGCATAGGCACATCAATTTTTACTCGTATCAAGACGTTGAAATTTATACAAAGAATAGTTTAGTTTAACCACAAGCTCAAATGTAGAAGAAGTTAAAACAGAAAGAATTACTCCTGATAAGGGATATTAAGATCAAAATCCAGCAACTTCTTAGGATGAACTTGTTCAGGCAACAGCGTTCTGGCGACACTCTCTTTAGCTTCACCACACCCTCCTCGTTTGGTTTTTGCCTGTGCTAACTCCACCTTCAATGGATCCTTCATCCGATGGGCTGTTTTGTGGCCACCGAGTGCCTGACCTGTGGCGAAAGTCTTGCTACATATCTCACATTGGTGCACGCTTTTCTTCTCTAATTTAGCCTTCTTCATTGATCTTCTTTCATGGGATTGGTTGGACTTGTTAGAATTTTGAGTTCCCAACTTCACCGTTGTTATCGGCTCGCAATAGGGTATCAAGCTCCATGTATTGGCAAGCAACGTGCTCTCAGAATCAGCAACTCCATCCATATCTCGATAGCTGGTGCTCTCTTCAGTCTTCATCTGAGGATGGCGAGCGTGACAGAATCTCAACGGCACTGCATCGTAGATTATGTGGCCGTCACTAGCACTTCTCTTGAAACCTCTTTTTTCAGTTTGGGAGCAGGTGGGCATGTATTTCAGCAAATCTAGGTTTTGGTCATTACGTGAAGAGACTGTGCTCTCAACCCATAGTTTCACCGTGGTGTCGGCTTCATGGGACGTTGCAGCAGGAGGGTGGTGAACACCGTTGGGAAGGGTACGGCGGTGGATTCTCATATGCTGGCTCATATGCAGGCACAGTAACTGCATCGACGAGAAACTTTGGTTGCAAACCAAACAAGCAAAACCATCATCTTGGGGTCCAGGTTTGGACCTAGGCTGATACTCAGTATGGATCCGAATATGACCGTGCAAGGCGTTTCTGGATTTGAAGCCTTTGCCGCAATATGTACATAATATGATCGTTGAATCCTGATGAGCAGTTTTGAGGGATTTCAAGCAGTTACGGGCGGGGGCGGCCAAGGAATCAGCGCTATGAGACATGTGAAGCTCTTCTTCTTTAGGATCACACGTATGAAATATCAACTGACGATACAAAGAAAGAAAGAAAGAGAAAGACCCGATCGACTGTGTGTTTGTGGGCGGCGTGTATACTCTCTCGCTTTCTGCATAAATATATACAACAAGATAAACCGCCTAGTCATGCTGGGCTTACTCTCTCCACTGAAATTTAAATATAACTTGATTAGCAAGTGAGGTTCATTAAGTAATTTCCTGGAAACATACTTCTTTCTGACCATACGAACGCTACTATTGTTTCTTATTCTATGCCTAATTTTTGAAATTCAGATAATTTACTACTAAATGATTAGTTTTTGTTTAAATTTAATAATAAATATATACAAATATTAATATAAATACAATTTTTAATTAATGAATGAATAATAAATTGGCCCGCCAAATCGGATTAGATCAAATCCTAACCTAGAAAAAGTATCATGTTTACCATAGTGGATGGTAATATTACAGTATTGATATTTTTTTTTATCACTTAACATGCTTCACTATCACTACATTAGGATAATGGACCATTACAATATCATAAATCTTCTACTTTGATATACATCAACACATGTACTTAACAATATATTCAAACATGGATGCATCACATAACATACATCATTAAAAGATTCGTATTTCATTATTCAAACACTAAACATACATTCAGATGTTATAACTTTATAACCTTCAATAAAATGCCGTTGTAGGGATGCGGAAAATTCGTTAGTTTGATAACCTACGGGCTACTATACAATACTTTTGGTTTCAATTGAATATGTAAAGAAATCTTGGGTGAGTGTATACAAGGTAATTAAATATTTAATTTTGTTCTTGTGAAAAAAAAAAGAACACATGCTTTTAGGTTTAGTTTAAAGAGTTTTATGTGGTCCCTTTACTAATCTCTCGAAAATCTAAGTTAGATTTCATAAGTAAATGTTAAGCATTCGGATTTTAATATCTTAAAAAAAATTGAAAGGATTCTATAAGATTCAATTTGAATTAATCGTTAATAGATAAAATATCGATGATATTACTGAAAAATCATTCGGATTTACCAGTGTTTACTCATAACAAGACGTAATATATACAAAGAAAAGTTTCTTTTAACCACGAGTTTAAATGTAGACAAACTTAAAACAGGAAAAAAAATTAATCCTGATAAGGGACATTAAGATCAAAATCCAGCATCTTCTTAGGATGAACTTGTTCAGGCATTAACCCAGGAAACAGCATTCTGGTGACACAATCTCTAGCTTCACCGCACGCTCCTTGTTTGTTTTTGGCCTTGAATGGATCCTTCATCCGATGGGACGTTTTGTGGCCACCGAGTGTGTAACACCCTCAACCCGTACCCGACCCGGATACGAGTCCAGGATGTCACATTGACTATACAAAACAATACTCTAAAAAACGATAAAACATTTAAACTTATATTATTAAAATACAATAATATACATATGTTAATACAAGTTTATCAAAATACTCAGAGCATACACAACTTGACTCTTTGATTACATGCCAACATTCATTTACATAACAAAAGGACCTATGATTAAGTTGCCTCTGATCTGATAGTTGCAGGAGTAGTGTTGTCCAACTGCTTAACCTGTCTCGTCTACTTTCTCGGATCCTACGTGTGAAACACTCACACGCTAAGTCATCGACTTAGTGAGGTAATATAATAATAATAACAACAAGGAAATGTAATGAAAATGCCATAATAAGATGAAATATGCAGTTTATATCACCATGTTCCTTACCTATAAGCATATTACCTTAACATTCATGAATTCGTATCAATAACTTTATTGGCTCATGATACCATACTAAGAACCTAAGGTATGTGAGTACTGTGAGGTTGTGCACTATGTTGTCACCACAACTCGTATAAATGCACCGAAGTGCCACGTAGAATTATACCGTAGTGCCAAATAAGATTATCCCTAAGGACCACATAGAAAATTCCTTAAGAATTATATACATATGCCAAGGATCAAGTATGTGTCTCAAAAGACCTCACACATGTACCAAAGGATACATATATGTTCCGAAGGACCGCGTAGACCTTCTACTCTTGGCATGCCAACTATATATATAGTTCTCATAAACATGGGCTTTTCCCAATTTACATAGTATATCACATAGACATATCATTTCCTTACCTTCATCACATGGCTCATATAACTTTGCATACATATTCATTTAAAACATGTTACACAATGCACATAATATGAATTTATATCATGCTTCACAATATGAAATGAATCATGCATCAGTGTATTGAATCTAGACTTCTCACAAGTCTAGAACTGAATATATATCTATAATCATGTTATGCATATGCACTCACCTATATTTCTTTGTTTTTTCCTCGATCGATCTTATTGGGCAATCGCTCTAGAACTTGTGTAGGCTCTGTATCTACATAGTAATTCATTGATACTTATCAGTATACTAATTAATATATTCTAAACTATCATTCCTTAGGCTAAAAGAAAAGTCATTTTCATCTTTTAATGAAGGTATGCATCGATGCACTACACCATGTATCGATGCATCCCTTGACGGGTGCATCGATGCACTATCTATGCATCGATACATAAATCTCATTCGATGTTTGTATTTAAGGGGGTGCATCGATGCACTACTTGTTCATAGATACACTGATGGCATTCAATGTTTTTATTTTAAAGGAGTGCATCGATGCACTTCATGTGCATCGATACACCTTGAACAATTTCTGAGATTTTATCCTTGATGCATCGGTACACATTGAATGTGCATCGATGCACATAGCCCAGAAATGTCATTTTTAGCACGAAATCCCTTCATAATCCCCTCAACACTACATAATTCACCTCCTTTTATATCCCTAACTTGCATACACTTACTTAAACTAATTATTATCCATTCAATACCTCTAAAACTTAGAAATCCAATCCTCCATATAGAATTTAAGAATCTCACTCAAATTCCAACATTTTCTAAATCTAATTCTGACATTCATATCCTTTAATTCCACTAATGACAAGTCAAATTTAGTCTTAAAATCTAATTAATACTTTTCTGTCAAGATTTCACTTATTCACCTCCTTTCTTTAATCCTTCCTAACTCCTTCATCTTTTGATTTTAAGATAACCTAAGCTTTCCTTAAGCTTAGTTATCATCTAATAATCAATAAGCAACCTTAAATTCATCACGAATTTGATCAACAAGAAAACTCACCTTTATTTGGACTTCACGGTGGAGAAGAAGAATGAAAAAGAAGAGAAATCTGGAACTTTGGTTTTCCCCAATTGTCTTCCACGTGGGTATTAAAATATCCCTTCAAAAGTAATATTTAATTACTTCCCTGCTAAAAGACTAATTTGCCCTTGTAATTCTTCTTATTTGCTAATTGATCCTACACAAAACATTTCAATCAAATCCTTGAACTTCTCAATTTATCCCATTTGGTCACTGAATTTTTAAATCTCACAATTTAATCACTAACCCGATATAGAGGATGTTACAAATCTCCCTCCCTTAAGAAATTTCGTCCTCGAAATTTTATTGCACAAACAAATGGGGGTATTGAATCGCATATCCTCTTCACGTTCCCACGTTGCTTCTTCTATTTTGTGATTTCTCCAAAGAACTTTGACCAATGGAACCATTTTATTTCTCAATTGTTTGACTTCGTGAGCCAATATTTGTATTGGTTCCTATTCATAGGTTAAAGCAGGTTGAACTTCTACTTGTTCTGGTGCAACGATGTGAAAGGGATCGGACCTATATTTTCTTAACATGGACACATGGAATACATTATGGATTTTCTCCATTTCTGGTGGCAAAAATAACTGATATGCCACTGGTCCTATTCTTTTAACAACTTTATATGACCCGATGAATCTAGGACTTAGCTTTCTTTTCTGACCAAATCGTAATACTTTTTTCCATGGTGATACCTTCAGAAACACTTTATCCCCATCTTCAAATTCAATCTCCTTTCTTTTAAGGTCAGAATAAGACTTTTGTTGATCAAATGCCACTTTTAGGTTATGTTGAATTTCCCGAACTTTCTCTTCCATATCTTGAATCAAATCTAGACGAGTACATTCCGATCTTTGAGCTCATACCAGTTTAATGGCATATAACATTTCCTTCCATATAACGCCTCATAGGGTGCCATTTTAATACTGGACTGATAACTATTGTTGTAAGCGAACTCCGCCAGTGGTAAGTATTTCTCCCATGACCCTTTGAACTCCATAACACATGCTCGCAATATATCTTCCAATATTTGAATAGTTCTTTCTGATTGTCCGTCTGTCTGGGGGTGAAAGGCGGTACTAAAGTTTAAGCGAGTCCCCAACGCTCCATGCAAGGATTTCCATAATCTCGAGGTGAATCGAGGATCTCAATCAGAAATTATAGAAACAGGCACTCCATGCAATCTAATAATTTCTCTAATATACAACTCTGAATACTTTTCCATAGAGAAATATGTTCTGACAGGAAGGAAATGTGCTGACTTAGTCAATCGATCAACAATTACCCAAATTGAATCTCTTTTGTTTGGAGTCAGGGGTAACCCCGAAAAAAATCATCATTACATTTTCCCACTTCCATTGTGGAATGGAAAGTGTTTACAATAATCTAGACGGAACTTGATGTTCGGTTTTGACTTGCTGACATATTAAACACTTGACACAAATTCAGTAATGCTTTATTTCATCCCTGGCCACCAATACCGATCTTTTAAATCCATATACATCTTGGTTCCATCAACAATTACCCAAATCGAATCTCTTTGTTTGGAGTCAGGGGTAACCCCGAAAAAAATCATCATTACATTTTCCCACTTCCATTGTGGAATGGAAAGTGTTTACAATAATCTAGACGGAACTTGATGTTCGGCTTTGACTTGCTGACATATTAAGCACTTTGACACAAATTCAGTAATGCTTCGTTTCATCCCTGGCCACCAATACCGATCTTTTAAATCCATATACATCTTGGTTCCACCCGAGTGCATCGTCAATGGACTGCAATGAGCCTCTGTTAATAAATCTTTCTTCAACTCTTCATCGTCTGGTATCACAATTCTTTCTTTATAATACA